AACCCTCAACCCTAACCCCTAAACCCTAAACCCTAAACCCTAAACCCTAAACCCTAAACCCTAAACCCTAAACCCTAAACCCTAAACCCTAAACCCTAAACCCTAAACCCTAAACCCTAAACCCTAAAGCGCAAAGGAAAGGCGAAGTGCAGCCGACAGACCTATGGGTGGACACGCAACCCGGACTGGGTTGGTTTGGGATTCTTTTAGGGCCGAAGTTTGGGGTTTAGGATTTAGGGTTTAGGGTTTACGTTAGGGTTTAAGGCTGAGGGTTCAAAGTTGCTGGGTGGAGGGCAAGGTCTGAGGGTTCAGGGCTTTCGGGTGAGCTAGGGTTTGGGGTTTTAGGGTTTTAGGGGTTTTAGGGTTTTAGGGTTTTAGGGTTTTAGGGTTTTAGGGTTTTATGGTTTTAGGGTTTCAGGGTTTTAGGGTTTTAGGGTTTTAGGGGTTTAGGGTTTTAGGGTTTTAGGGTTTTAGGGTTTTAGGGTTTTAGGGTTTTAGGGTTTAGGGTTTAGGGTTTAGCAGGGCTGAAGGTTCTGGGCCTGGGGCAGCGTGTTTAGGGAGCCCACGCTTGCTTTTCCTGGTATGCTCTTGTTGTAAAAACTCTCAGAGGATTCTTCAGGCAACCATGACAATCAAGAATAAAGGCCTCAGGGGTTCAGTTTTGGGCTTCAGGCAATCGGATTCAGGTTGGTTTTCGGATTTCATCAGCCAGCTCTAAATTCAAACCGCCTAAACCTTGAACCCCAATTATCTGTTTAGGGCTTGGGGCAAGCCCCCAATCAAGTGGAAATTATTGTGCTTCTGGTTGGGGTTTGGATTTGGGGTTTTGGGTTCAGGGTCTAGCATTTAGGGTCATAACTTGCAAGTTGTAAGTCCCTTATAGCGACTATAGCAAGGCGTATTAGCTCCTCGCCGAAGCCACACAACCTGCGGATTTGCCAAGGTCCGGCCAAAGGAAGAAGCGCGTGTCAAGCATCAACGCGGACATAATGATGACCGAAAGCGGCAGATTGTCCAGGTGGGTGTTTTAGAGTTTAGGGTCTAGGGCCTAGGGTTGAGGGTTGAGGGGTTGAGGGACTTTTGACGTTTTAGCGCCTAATAACAGCAATCCTGGAATCCCTTTCAATTATCTGTCCTAGAAGTATCCCTAGACCCTTTGTAAACCCCAATTAAACCCTATGTACCTAGGTAGGCTCTTGGGATATCTGCATATTTTCCCTTATTGGGTATACTACAGAGTATGTTTCATCCTCTACGGTTACTCCTAGAAACGTAAACCCTATGAACCCGGCAATCGAGGTTGAAGCTCCCTCTCCCCCCCCCCCAACAACAGGTACCTGCAAGGTATGTACTTGGGCCCCAAAGCTACGTTATAGGAACCCGTCTAAGGGCCAAGTATATGCCAGATATTACCCTAAACCCGAAACCCCAAACCACAAACTCCAAACCCTAAACCCTAAACCCAAACGTTTATATATATATATATGTGTATATATATATATATATCTGTATATACATATGTGTGTGTGTGTGTGTGTGTGTGTGTGTGTGGGTGGGTGGGTGGGTGTGGTGGGTGGGTGGGGTGGGTGGGGTGGGTGGGTGGGTGGGTGGGTGGGTGTGTGGGTGTGTGTGTGTGTGTGTGTGTGTGTGTGTGTGTGTATGTGTGTTGCTGTTTCTGTATGCTTGTGCATACAGACATGGATCCTTTGGATTAGGTCTTGGGGTGTAGAAGCTCCTAGTTGAAGCCGAAGCACGAAACCCGTACCCTGATGCAGATTAGGGTTGAGGGTTGAGGGTTTAGGGTTTAGGGAACCCCAAGCCCTAAGCCCTAGACCCTAAAGCTTTAGTTCCCCTTGAGAACCCCTAACACCCAAAGCCGGTTCGTGGTTTAGGGCTTAGGGCTCAGGGGTTAGAGCTAGGCTATAGGGTTCAGGGTTCAGGGTTTAGGGTTTAGGGTTCAGGGCCAGGTTTAGGGTTGAGGGTGGAGGTTTGAGGGTTTAGGGTATGTAGGGGTCTAGGAACCCTAAAGCCCTGCAAAACCTTCGCCGGGAGGTTCTGTGATTGCTTTCGACGCTGAGGCGGGCAGCGAGAGTGAGGGACATGGCCACGGCCCCTGAGCACTAAACCCTAAGGTTCTACGGGTTTAGGGTTTAGGGTTTAGGGTTTAGGGTTTAGGGTTTAGGGTTTAGGGTTTAGGGTTTAGGGTTTAGGGCTACTTTGGAGGTTCATGGGTAGTTCTAAGTAGGGTTAGAAGTACCCTGAGAACCCTAAGGGCCAATAAACATCCTAAGCCACATATGGGGGTTTACGATATTAGGGGGTACCCTATTGGGGTCCCTATTATAAGGGAACCCAATTTGGGAGTCTATATCAGGGTCCCTTATACCACCGGATCACTAAACCCTAAGCCCAATTTCAGAGTCCCAAGCCCACGAAGTCCTGCCAAGACTCGAGCCTCAAGGGATTTTAGGGTTTAGGGTTTAGGGCGTTTGGAATATCTGAGGTTCTTTGAAGAGATTTTCATCAGGGCTTCGCGCCCGCACCCTAAACCCCCCAACGTTGCCGGGTGGAGGCTCTGAAGCTCTTAAGCCCGAACCCCACCTAGACACCCCCCCCCCCCCCCCAAATTCTCGTACCCTCTACTTTTGGATTCATGGCTCGTATCAGATCCTGGTGCGACAGTAAGACTCTGAGTTAGTATTGCGATCTAGGTAAGGTCTACTTCAACTCCCCAGGAACCTAAAGCCTAAACCCTAAACCCTAAACCCTAAACCAGGGATTACCCCAAACCCTAAACCCCAAACCCTAAACCCTAAACTCTGAGCCCTAAAGTGCTCTCCATGATGGCCCATGGCACCCGGCCGCTCCAACGTCCCGCTGGTGCTGGCTGCTCTGGTGATGCTGGGCGCAATGCGTAGGGTTTTGGGTTTAGGGTTTAGGGTTTAGGGTTAGGGTTTAGGGTTTAGGGTCGAGAGTTTAGGGTCTTAGGGTTGAAGATTTCAGGGTTTCAGGGCATCAGGGCTTAGCGTAAAGGGTCCTGAAGTCTCGGCCCGTACCCAGAGTCTGCCCATAGAAGAGACCATGTCTAACTAAACCCTAAGGGTTTAAGTACAGCACCCACAACATGGTACACCCTCAGCCCAATGAGAAGCTCAAGGAAGAGGCTGAGCACTGACTTTCAACTCTTTCAACTCTTTCAACTATAGCACCAAGCATGCGAACCCACGAAGTTGGGTTTGGGGTTTAGGGGGGTGCAGGCTTTAAGTTTAGGGTTTGGGGGCGTGCAGCGTTTTGGTTAAACTCAACAAAAGCCCTTCGAATCTGGAGGATCTTTTGGGAGTCTTCGGGTTGAGGGTTTGGGTTTAGGGTTTAGGGTTTAGGGTTTAGGGTTTAGGGTTTAGGGTTTAGGGTTTAGGGTTGAGGGCCGAAAACCCCGAGGTGCACAGCATCAGGGAACCAGCTCAGCGCCCTCGACTTGATCAGCACGCAGGCCGGGAAAGTCTAGGGCTTAGGGTGTTAGGGTTTTAGGGTTTAGGGTTTTAGGGTTTTAGGGTTTTAGGCTTAGGTTTGTGCCTTGCCGAAAGTTTGCGCCTTGCCCACGAAAGCTGGGCACCATCAAGGCGCAAACTTTCGTGGGCAAGGCACGCCGGGTCCTGCCCTTGCCTTGCCCACGAAAGTTTGCACTTTGCCTGCTGAAGATTGTGTCTTGCCCACGAAAATTTGCGCCTTGCCCACGAAGGTTTATGCCTTTCCCATGAGCCCGTCAAGGTGTATATATATATATATATATGTATATATTTATAGTTATTTATTTATTTATGTATGTATATTTATTTATGTGTTTGTTTTTTCATTTGTATTTATAGCAACAGAGGTGTAGGGTTTAGGGCGCAGGCTGCTTTATTCGGATTTCGGGAAGCTGTAGAGGGGTTGGGGGTGTTACAAGGACGACCCCCCCCCCCCCCCTCCCCCCCCTCCCCCCCTTGGTATAAGAGTTGTATGGGCCTAGCCTAGCCGTAAGCAACATAGGGTCTATGTTCCTGCAGCCCTTCCTTTTAGGGCTGTGAGTTGGCGCAGGTTGAGGGTTTAGGGTTTATGGTTGGAGGTTGGGTGGGGGGTGGGGGTGGTTGAGGCAGCTTCGTTGTTTTCTTTTTAGGGATTACTGGCATTTAGGCGCTAGAGGGGAACACCCTTATTTCCCTTTCCACTTCTGGTAGGGTTCGGATTCCTAAGAAGCCCCGTTTAACCGAAAGCACACTTTTGTTTCGCTTCGAATACTGGGCAACCTAGGGTAAGTGGGCTATAGTGGGCTCAGGGTTTCTGAGGTGCGCCAATAAACCCTGTAGCGGCAATCCTGAAACTGCATCGTGGGTGAAATGGGCTTGGGGGGATTTTTAGGGTTTAGGGCTCCTGCATCCCGAAGAAACGAAGGCTTCGAAGGTTTTCTTGAGTTGGGGCCGGGAGGGCTTTCTTTGGCGTTGGGCTCCGCATGCGCCACAGGCAAGGGCTGAACCCAAAAGGGCTTATACTAAACCCTAAACCCTAAACCCTAGACCCTAAACCCTAAACCCTAAACCCCTATACCCCTAAACCCTAAACCCTAGGGTTTAGAGTGTAGGTTTTAGGCTTCAGCGTTCAGAGGACGCCTAGTTAAGCACTCTGAGGGCCCCAACACCACCTCTGAGCCAGGTGTGGCTGGACAAGCATGTCTTCAACAACACCCTGGCCGCAGAGTCCTCTGCTCTCGGCTATCAGAAGTTCGTCATGCAGGCTACCCCCCCCCCCCGGCCCGCCCTTCCAGCCCTAGCCTACCTCCCTAGATCCCTGCACGCTGAGTCTTAGATTCGGCCTAGACCCGAAGTCCAACGAACCTGAACCTTTCTTTTCTATTAATTTTAAGTATTATCATCATTTCCTATCGCCATATGTTACTGCTACTAGCGCGGTCAACACTATGATTACTATTACGACTTCTATGCCTCGGACTTCTACTCCTCTGAATGGCAGCCCTTCGTGCTTGGGTGGCGTTGCTTGAAGATGTGAAGCTTCAAGCAGCCGCCCCGAACACCAAAGCCTCCCACCCTCGGATCTAGACCCCAAACCCTGAGCCCAACTTACCAGCTAGCCCGTCGGCTTTTGTTGATCAGGATGATAAAAATCTTGTATAGTATCAATAATAGTATTAATTTCTTTTTTATTATACATTATTTTTTGAGAAAGCCTGCAACCCTAAAACCTGAACCCTTCCCTGTCAGGAGTGGAAGGCGCGTGCTCAGGGCTTGCAGTGGCCGGTCGACACTCGGCTGCAGCAGCGGGTTTGGGGCTTCGGGTTTGGGATTTCGGGTTTGGATTTAGGGGTTTAGGGGTTTAGGGGTTTTAGGGTTTTAGGGTTTAGGGGTTTAGGGGTTTAGGGTTGAGGGTTTAGGATTTTCGGGTTTGTGTAAACTTGCGCGGAGGGTTTAGGGTTTGGCCTGAGACCAGGGCTCTTCACTGCTCCTTGCTCTCTGAGGTCTGCTTCCCCCAGATAGGCTTTCCAAGCCCTCTAGACTCTAGCCCTAAACCCTAAACCCTAAACCGTCAACCCTAAGTCGCCAAGCTCAAAATCGCAAGCTCTTGGCCTCTCTGAGTGTGTCTGCTTAAGACCCGACCCTGGACCCAGGGAAGGGGAGGAACCTAGCTTCTCCCTCAATTCGGGGTTTAGGGTTAGGGTTTAGGGTTACGGTGTAGTTTCAGGGTTTAGGGCTTTTAGGGTTGTACCGTAGGTTCTGTTGGGTTTGGGGGTTTCTGGGTTTCGGGGCTTGGGGGTGCTGAGGATTGGCCGACGCTTTGCTTCCTGGGCCTGGGCCCGGCCTCGGCAGATCTGACTCTTGGCCCCAAGTTGGGAAGGGGGGGGGGGGGGGGGTGGGTTGGGGTTTAGGGTTTAGGGTTTAGGGTTTAGGGTTTAGGGTTTAGGGTTTAGGGTTTAGGGTTTAGGGTTTAGGGTTTCGGGTTTAGGGTTTCGGGTTCCGGGTTTAGGGTTTTAGGGTTTTAGGGTTTTTGGGTTTTAGGGTTTGGGGTTTAGGGTTTTTGAGAGTTTAGGGTTTGCGTCGGGCAATAGAAGGAATGGTTATCTTCAATTTTGTGTGGGATTTCTTAAGAACATAGTAGGTTGGGGGGGGGGGGGGGCGGAAGGGAGTTTAGGGTTTAAGGGTGTAAGGGGTTTAGGGTCTTAGGAGGGTTTTTCGGGTTAAAGGGTTAAGGGTTTTAGAGCCTTTGTCAACCCTGGGTTAAGGGTTTTAGGGTTTTAAGGTTTGCAGGGTTGCGGGTTTTAAGGTTTTTAGGGTCTTAGGGCTTCAGGGTTTAGAGTTTCCGACAATACGGATACCCTTTTTGGTTGCTTCCTGTAATTATTTTTCGGTTGTTGGAGGGCATTTATGGGGAACCCTATTTTGTGATCGACTGATATATTTCTCGGGCTACATCCCACACAGCCCACAAACCCGAAGACACTGAACCCTTAAATACCATGAAGCCCCCGATTCCCTCAAGCCTTAAGCCCAAAAGCGTACATTCCTGAAGCCCCCAACTCCTGAAGCCCTGCTACCCCAAAGCACTAAAACCGAAAGCCGAAACCCTAAAGCCCAAAATCTCTCAGCCCTTGTTTAATCCCTAAACCCTGCGAACCTTTTACCTCTACTCCTAACCCCTAAACCCTAAACCCTAAAACCTCCTCGGGGGGGGGGGGGGGCCTCTCCCTTTACATGAGGACCCCAAGTTTGTAAGCGCCCAGACTTGAAAGACTCGGCTGAAGGAGCTCCAACCCTAAATCCCCACTCAGGTTTCTAGCGTAGACCCTAGACCCTAAGCCCTAAACCCTAAGCCCGAAGCCCTAAAGCCCCCCACTCAGGTTCCTAGCGCTCACGCGCATCCTGCCAGAGCTGCAGGCGCCAACTTTTGCGGGTCCTAAACCCTAAACCCTAAACCCTAAACCCTAAATCCTAAACCCTAAGCCGCAGGTGTTGCAATATTTGGGGTTGACTAAGGGTTCAGGGCTCAGGGCTTTAGTCCAGGGCTTCGGGATGTGGGGCTTGTGTAATCAGGACTCCCGAGGTTCACTCAGGTATTCGTAGTAGCTGAGTGAGCGCACTTTACACTTTTTGGGATAGAAAGTCTCCTATAGAACTGAAAGTGTACACTTTTTTTGGCTTATGAACACAGCAACTAAGTATTAGGTTTGTGTTACCAGATTAGGGCGGGGAGGGTGTATTGGTCTCAGGAGTGCTAGTTCTCTAAATAGGGGTACCTGTTTGGGCCCTACATAGTACGGCACCTGGTAAAAAGGACCCCCAAATAAGGGAGCTTACTTCAGAGAATTGCCCATAGGCAGCAGGTGAGGTCAAAGGGGCTTAGATTCAGCGATGGAAAAGGATCAACGCCATTTCCACTGAAGCTCCAAACCTAGGGGAGGCCCTTGGGATATTTTATATTTGCCCTTATTGGTTTTAAGAGGATCATATTTAGGATTTTTCATCAGAGGGTTTTATGGGCCATCCCAGAAAAGCGCGGTCCGCCTATCTTATTGCCACATCAGGTGGTGCTCATCGACGTCGAGGAGGCCCCCAGCCCAGATGGGCTAGTCCTTACACCCTAAACCCTAAACCCTAAACCCTAAACCCTAGACCCTAGACCCTAAACCCTAAACCCTGAACCCTGAACCCTAGTTTGGCAGGTATCATTGGGATTTCTTTTTTTGTCTTGGTGTTTACCATGGAAAAAGATTTAACAATCCACACGAGGTCGGGGCGATTACTTGTGGAGGGCTGTTCGTGGGCTGCTAAAGGGTTCGGAATAGTTACCAATAGCATCCCCTTCTGGCCCCTTTGTAGTTCTACTATGCTAACCCCCCCCCCCCCCCAAAATAATAATAATAAATTAGAAAAAACAAGCTCCATTCTAATTATGAAGGCCCCTAAACCCTCAACCCTAAACCCTAAACATTAAGGCTCCTGTATTACAGCTTTCCGAGGCTTTCTGGAAGTGCTAGTCCCATAAAGTCCGCACGCCACAAGGGTGCGTTCAAGGGTTTCGGGCTTCCCGAAACCCTAACCCCAAACCCCAAACCCTAAACCCTAAACCCTACACCCAAAACCCTAAACCCTAAACCCCAAACCCTAAACCCCAAACCCCAAACGCCAAACCTCAAGCCCCAAACCCTAAACCCTAAACTTTGTTCAAGGGTGTAGGGTATGGGGTTTGGGTTGGACTTGAAGGTTCATGGTTGTAAGAACCTTGCTTCTGATCTTGGCAGGTCATTGGGGTTTAGGGTTTAGGGTTTTTTAGACGCTTATTTGATTTGGGCTTTGCGTGTTAGGGTCACACTAAGGGCCTAACCGCCCGAGAGCCAAAGTTTCAGCAAGCTTCTCTGAGTGCGTGACCAAGACGGTCTTTGCCCGGACGGCTTTCCGCCCCGATCGTAGTCTGAATCTCAGGACGGCGCGCATGCCCACTCTTGTTTCCTGCCATCCTTGGCGTTTAAACCCTAAACTCAAGAGGTCCGTTGGATCGGCCTTGCCGCCAAGATCTGTCTCTCCTCCACCGTTTAATTCGTCAACTCGGCGTCACCGAGTAGGAAGTCTTCAGGTGTAAGCCCCCCTAGGGTTTAGGGTTTAGGGTTTAGGGTTTAGGGTTTAGGGTTTAGGGTTTAGGGTTTAGGGTTTAGGGTTTAGGGTTTAGGGTTACTCCTTGCGCCAGCCCCGCTGCCGCCATGAAGGGTGGGGATGTCTAGATCTGCTTGTATCCTTACATCGGGTACTTATAACCATGGCCATACTTCTGACTACCCGTGAAACTTCATGTAGCCCTAACCCCTAAGCCCCCTAAAGCCTAAACCCTAAACCCTCAAGTCCAACCCTAAACCCCCAACCCATCAAACCCTCGAACCCTCGAACCTTCAAGCCCTAAACCCTCCATCCCGTCCCCTCCGGAACCCTAAACCTCAACCCCAATACAAACCCTAAACCCTCAACACCCCAAAACCCCTAAACCCTCAACCCCTAGACCCTAAAACCCTTAACCCCTAAATCCCTAAACCCTCAACGCCCCAAAAGCCCTAAAACCCTAAACCTTCAACCCCTAAACCCTAAAGCCCTTATCCCCTAAATCCCTAAACCCTTAAACCCTAAGTTGCCCCAATCGGTTAGGTTAGGCTTGAGGGTGCTCTTACACCCTCTTAGTAAGTAATTTAGGGTAGTTACATGGTCCCTGAATATGGGCCCTTAAAAGGCCCCTTATATACCGCTTTTATACCCCCTACAAGTCAAGGGCCGATGCTTCGGAGCCCTTTAAAGGAGGCAAGGGCCCACATGAACCCTAAGCCCTAAACCCGAAACCCCTAAACCCTAAACCCTAAACCCTAAACCCTAAACCCTAAACCCTAAACCCTAAACCCTAAACCCTAAACCCTCAACCAACTACTTTTAGACACCCGGCAGCCCCGACTCCCCGAGGGCGAGCACACGGCGCGCGTCGCCCGAGATCTGGGCGTCCAGGCCAACCCTGCGGTCGTGCTTATGGCGAAGGGGTCCAGGGTTTGGGGCTTAGGGTTAGGGTTTAGAGTTTAGGGTTTCGGGTTTAGGGTTTAGGGCTCAGGGTTCAAGGTTTAGGGTTGAGGGTTTGCGCGTCACTTACAAGGTTCGCATAATCCAGTGGGTTTAGGGTTTAGGGTTTAGGGTTTAGGGTTTAGGGTTTAGGGTTTAGGGTTTAGGGCGGGATTCGCCTGCAAGGGCTTGGGCAACAAGCATCTCGTGGACCTTCCACACTCGCCAGCATTCCCCAAAAGCCCAAATCCTTAAACTTTAGACCTACAGGGTGGGGCCCCCTAGTTATAAGTAGAGATATAAGGGCCCTAAATTGGGTTATAAGGACCCTAAGTTAGGTTATAAGTCCCTTAACTACAGTTAGTATAGTAAGGGGGCCCCACCCTGTAAACAAACCCTAAAGCCAAGCATCCCCGCAACGAAAAGCCCACCTGAGCGCTACGAAGCGCACAAGCAACCCCCCCTAGCCTCACCTTGCTAACTCCCTTTTTTGGGGGGGGGTTCCCCTATAATCCCTTTTTAAGCAAGAAAGGGCACGCTTAGAAAAATAGCAGGTTGCTGGGCGACCCAGATTACTTGACTTCCTCTGTCAAAGGGGTCCAAACCCCCAATTCAAAACATTCCTACTTCGGGTTCAGTTTTGATATAAGGTTCCCCCCTTCCCTCCTTGGAAAGGAAACCTCATAACCCCTGCGGCCCAAAGCCGAATTCCAATCCCTAAACTCCAATTCCTCCCCTCCCCCCACCCTCCTAAACCTTTTTACGCCCTATTTCCGCCCCTTGTCCCCAAACCTGTTAAATACTCATAAACCCGAATTTCTCTCCTCAACCTTGACTCCTAAACCCTAAGCCCCTTAACCCCTGAACCCCGAAACCCTACTTAAACCCTAACCCCTAAACCCTAAACCTTAAGCCCCTAAACCTTAAACCTTAAACCCCTAAACCCCTAAACCCCTAAACCCCTAAACCCCTAAACCCCTAAACCCCTAAACCCCTAAACCCCTAAACCCCTAAACCCCAACCCCTAAAAACCCAAAAAGCCCTCAAAACCCTGAAAACCCTGAAAGCCCTAAAAACCCTGAACCCCTAAAAACCCTAAAAACCCTAAAAACCCTAAAAACCCTAAAAACCCTAAACCCCCTAAACCCCTAAAAACCCTAAACCCCCTAAACCCTAAAAACCCTAAAAACCCCAAAAACCCTAAAAACCCTAAAAACCCTAAAAACCCTAAAAACCCTAAAAACCCTAAACCCCCTTAAGGATGGCGCAGGAGCACCGCCTCGCCCGCGCGTCGGTCGAGGACTTCGCCGAGGCCCGGGGCCCGGCGCGCCGGCGCCTCCCGGCCGTGATGGGTTTAGGGTTTGGGGTTTAGGGTTTAGGGTTTAGGGTTAGGGTTTCGGGTTTGGGTTTGGGTTTGGGGTTTAGGGTTTGGGGTTTAGGGTGTGGGTTTGGGTTTAGGGTTTAGGGTTTGGGGGTTTGGGGTAGGTTTGGGGGTTTTGGGTTTAGTTTGGGTTTAGGGTTTAGGTTTGGGGGTAGGGTTTAGGGTTTTGGGGTTTAGGGTTTGGGGTTTGGGGTTTTGGGTTTAGGGTTTAGGGTTTAGGTTTTAGGTTTTTTGGGTTTGGGTTTAGGGTTTAGGGTTTAGGGTTTGGGTTTAGGTTTAGTGTTTAGGGGGTTTAGGGGTTAGGGTTTTTTGGGGGTTTGGGTTTTGGTTTTAGGGTTTGGGGTTTGGGGGTTTGGGGTTGGGTTTAGGTTGGGGTTTGGGTTTAGGTTTTGGGGTTTGGGGTTTAGGGTTTTGGGGTTTAGGGTTAGGGGTTAGGGTTTTGGGGTTTGGGTTTGGGGTTAGGGTTTGGGGGCTTAGGGTTTGGGGTTTAGGGTTCAGGGTTTAGGGTTTAGGGGTTTGGGGTTTGGGGTTTGGGGTTTAGGGTTTGGGGTTTAGGGTTTAGGGTTTAGGGTTTGGGGTTTAGGGTTTGAGGTTTGGGGTTTGGGGTTTGGGGTTTAGGGTTTGGGGTTTAGGGTTTAGGGGTTTAGGGTTTGGGGTTTAGGGCTTGGGTTTTAGGTTTTAGGGCTTAGGGTTTCGGTGGCTTTTTATGAACCCTCAAGCTGTCTCTGTTTTGGCTTTTGCCGCATATTCTTGTATGACGAATTGAATTTTCTGATAACATTCTGATATGGGGGTTTGCAGCCATATGGGCCCTTTGGGATAGGGCTTGCTAGAAATGAGTGACTCCAGTGCACATGTATCTACAATATGACCCTAAACCCTAAACCCTAAACCCTAAACCCTGAACCGCAGCTTGGACCCTAAAGCCTAAACTGTGCCCTAAGGCTGCGACGCGGTGCAGTGGTCATTGGACACGCCAGCATTCTCCTTCTACAGGCCGGGCTGAGGGAAAATACGGTTGTGGGACTGGAGTGAGTTCTTTTATGCTTTCTACGGGCAGGCTCTGGGGAGTTTAGGGTGTACAGTAGGGCTTAGGGTACGAAGAAGGCCTCTGTTCAATCATAGTGGGTTTTTTCTGGGGGGGTTTGGTGTTTAGAGTTGGGGATCGCCAATTTGAAGCAGGCTTCTGGTTCTACTGATTCTGAATAGAAACACGTCAACAGATCTTGACTGGTACCTCAGAAGCCCGGGAATCGTCCCAAGTTCTGCAAAAGCCATCGTCACATTACCCTGAACCTTAAACCCTAAACCCTAAACCCTAAACCGCAGGTATAGAGAGCTGTTCTACTCCTCGCAGTTTGTCTTGGGGCTGCCTGGCCTGCATCTCTCCGTGCGAAGGGCTGCTGGGGCCAGGCATCAGGGTTGAGGGTCTTGTTTACTTAGGGTTTAGGGTTTAGGGTTTAGGGTTTAGGGTTTAGGGTTTCGGGCCCAAACGCTACGCCCTAGACCTCTTCTCGCGCAGGCGTGGGCAGGATCTGGAATGGGTGGACCAGGATTAGGGCTAATATAGGGGTCGGAAGAATTACTAAGAGTGTTTCCCTTTTAATGGCCCCCAAAAACCGTGTGCTAGCCATTCAGGCCTGTAGATTAAAGGTTTCCAGAGGAGCTGCTGACAGATCTGCCTAAACCCAAAACCCGTAAACCCTAAGCGCTAAACCCTAAACCCTGATCAGCGGCTGACCTGGAGGCTGCTGGCCTTGGGCTATCGACCTGGACAGCGCAGCCATCGAAGCTCGCCATGCTTCTTTCCGGCGACTTGTCGCGTCAGTGCCCCAGACGTGGACACCGAACATGGAACATTTGGCAGCTGAGTTCACGCTTCGGCAAGCGTCCTTGCGCGAAGCAGAATGTCGGCCAGCCGCCGCGGCAGATAGCAGAGTTGGGACACAGCCTCCGCCGGCGCATGGCAAGCGCCGAGGACCTGGGAAACAGTCTGGTGCGAAGGGTGGTGGCGGCGGTGCTTTGCGTGCGTATGTGCACGTCAACGCCCTCTTCTTTTCGGGTTTAGGGTTTAGGGTTTTGGGTTTAGGGTTTAGGGTTTAGGGTTTAGGGTTTAGGGTTTAGGGTTTAGGGTTTAGGGTTTTTTCGAGGGCGCCTCAGAGAGCTCATTTCTCAGGACATTGTTGGCTTCGTCTTCCTCGACGTCGGTTGTTTAGGGTGTATAGGTTAAAGGTGCAAGAAGGAATGCCGAGACACGTTAAGGTCAATACAAAACGTCTAAACCCTCAATGCAAAGCAAAAGAGTAACCCTTATACCTTGAACAAATGATGTACCTTATTTATTGAGCATATTGCCCCGTTTTTCAAGCTACAACAGGCTACTCTGGTTAGCCTCCTAGGCCCTCAGCTGGCACAGGGGTACTCCAAGCCTCCCTAAACCCTAAACCCTAAACCCTAAACCCTAAACCCTAAACCCTAAACCCTAAACCCTGGGCGTTGAGCCCAGGTTGTCATTGAGACTTGAGAGCTCAAGGGACTAAAGGAGGGACCCTTATAAGGGACCTTAGGGAATTAGGGTTCAGGGTTCAGGGTTTAGGGTTTAAGGTTTAGGGTTTAGGGTTACTTGGGGGGCTACTTAGGTATACACGGACTAAACAAGGCACATGTAGGGGTTATATAGGGGAATGCGATTAAGGGTCCCTTCTAGGGGTCCCTCCTTTTACCCCTTTATATATGGATTCTGGGGGGGGGGGGGGGTAATGTTGAGGGACTCTAAGAAGGATAAGAATGTTAGTGGTTAGATTCTGGTATAAGCCACCTATAGGCAAACAAAAGCCCTAAACCTTAAGCCTTTGTAGTTCACAGGATGGGGTTTACAGGGTTTAGTGTTTTTAGGGGTTCGGGTATCCCTAGTAGTTTGAGAATGGTTGTAGTTGTAGGCCTTCGGCGTTGTAGGACTTAGGGCTTAGGCATAGGACTTTTTTGTTCGGGTGGCGGGCGGGCGGGCTACCCTAAATCTAAACCCTAAAGGTTCGAAGAGGTTCCGTGTGCTTGAGAGCAGGGCCACACTTTGCTGCCGACCCGAGGATGTTGAACATGCAGGGCTGCTATCCCCCCTTCGTGCTGAACGGGATGCCGAGTGACAGAGACTCGGAGTCTTTCTTAAGTTGGCAGCTCTCTCTCTCTCTCTATGTATATATACCTACACATAATTGTGTACATGTGTGTATATACATGTGTATGCACTTACAGATTGTCCTTTTGTATAATGTTGCCCTGAACATGACTGCCCAGCGAGGCTCTGGGACGGAGGATGGCAGAGTTTTGCTGGGTTTTCGGTGTAATATTGGGGCCTTGATAATCAGAATAGGGTTTTGGTGGTTATTATAGTGCAATTGTAAAGGGACCATACTTGAATTCTAGCAGTAATTATTCCGACCCCTGTAGTAGTGACTTCCTCATGTCCTCCTGAAAAAGGCGAAAGGGGGGTACCCTAAGGAAGCCCTCATAGCTGGTCCAAGCTTTCAACTCAACCACGGATTACACGGGGTAGGGGGTGGGCTTTAGGGTTTGCCCTCCCCTCCACCCTTCACCTCCGCCCTGCCTCCACACTCCAGGGTATGTCCCCACCACGCAACAAAGGAGCCGAATGTAAAGCCCCGCCACCACTTCTGGACACCTAGGATACTACTGCGAGTATCTCTACAGCAACTACAAGGCCCACGGCGAACGTGTCCACGGTCGATGCCTTCGCTGGGTCTACTTTACTACTTTACTTAGGGATTCTTGGGAATGACTTTTATTTTTGGGGTACAATAATTCCCAAGAAACAGCTAGCAATGCAATATTTGCTAGGGTTCCAAGTCCAGAAGAGTTTACTGTTTTTTTGTAGGGAATGCTTGAGCCTAAAGCTCCATATGTACCCGTATCTAAATGCAGAAAACTTGGGGGCCTTAAAGTCCCTCGTAGATGGGGACTTTTGGGCCCAAGTATATAGTAATGTGGTACATGACCCCATGGGGTGAGGTAGGTACGCTCTATGTACCTGGTAGCCCAGTGGTACCCTTCACCCTTTTCTCTTGGTACAAGGCTCCCGTAACAAGCACCCAGACAGAAAAAAGGGATGCCCTTATTGCAAGATGGCAGGCTACCAAGAATACAGGGCCATTTCGGGGTGCCGAGTTCCCTCCTCCCCTCTAAGAACCGGCAAGTATACTACCGACTTCAGGGATTTTGTCGTTGCTTGGTGCCGTTCTCATACTTGCAGATTAGGGTTTGGGGAGTTTACGGAGTTTAGGGTTTAGGAGCGGCTGTGGTCGTTGCAGTTGTCGGACTGCAGCTGATCCTTCCTTGATGCGTGTATACATATATATATATATGCATGTACATATACTTATGTGGTTATTTTCATTTATATGTATATTTGTATTTATGTCTGTATTTATACGCATATAGAAAGCGCCCCGGCAACGGTTCCAGATGGTCTTGCTTGTGCCCCGAGCCCGAAGCCCCAAATTCTTTTGGAGCCTTTGGGTTTAGAGTCTTCAAAGAGTTAGGGTTGAGGGTTCGGGGCCCGGAGGTTTAGGGTTTAGGGTTCGGTTACAGCATTGTTGCATATGGTCGCGCCCTAGTTCCGTAGAAAGACCGTACCTCCATGACCCCATACAGGGTACCGAAATGAGGAGGCCCTTGAAGACCTCCAAATTTAGGGGTTGGGGAAGGGTAGAGCTTCAGGCTTCTGTGGTTTAGGGTGTAGGGATTGGGTTTAAAGCCCTAGACCCCAAAGCCCTAAACCCTAAGCCCTAAGCCCTCAAGCCCTAAACCCTCAACCCCTAAACCCTAAACCCTAAAAGCATCCCACAACCACACCACAGGGGTGTTTAGGGTTCTTCTTGAGCCAGGGGACGGTCTGCGGGAAATTGGACGAGAACAACTTCTGGAACGTCAACGGCCAGGAATTGTACTTTCCTACGGAGCCCTGGTTGCAGGTGAGGGTTTTCGGGCGAAAAGGGTTTATGGTTCATATACCTTAATAGGAGTTATAGTAAGTAGCACAGGGTATATGACCCCAATTTAGGTTCACTTGGTCCCCAAGGTATGTGTGAGCTACTCTCCTTTTTTTCGTCTCCTTGGCGCTCATGTACCTACGTTTTGTAACTCAACCCCTCAACCCCTCAACCCCATCAACCCCATCAACCCTTAACCCTAAACCCTAAACCCTAAACCCTCTGAGCCCCAAGCCCAGCTCTCACCTCCAGGGTCAACAACGCCATCGCGCATCTGAGCGTACGTGCGCCTACTGCCCAACCCGAGACTTACCCGACCCTATTTTCACACTGCTTTCGTCTTTCAGCCACAAAAGCAACCAAAAGCCAAAAGGAAAAACCAGGAAAGCGCTTAACCGAGCAGTAAGCTAAGGGCCCAGGTACCGACATAGTATGTACTATGGGCCCTAACCCTACTGTGCAGGAACCCCTTTAAGGGCCCAACTATATACTCGATGGGTACATGGACCCTTTGACTTCAAGCAATGTCCAAGATTGATGCTGGCTGCGGGGAGCACATCTGCCTTTGCCACGGCCACTCAGACACGTGCCTTGCTGGCACGAGACTGGTTTAGGGTTTAGGGTTTAGGGTTTGCATGCATTGCATGCTACTACCCTTAGACTACGTTACATGAAGCAGTGTTTTTGTTGATTACTGTCGTTGGTGAGTGTATTTATGGTTCTTTGTATATATATATATAGATGTACATATATTGGACATTTTGGGGAGTGCATGTGATAATAAATTCAATGTGCCATAAGATATGATGCAATATAACAAATATGTTTTTTGGACGATGCTAGTAGTGAAATTAGTAAAAGCCCCCCACACCAGAAATGCGTGTTGCCTATCGGGCGAGGTAGCGCGCATGTACGCAGGCTGACCCCTATACAAGCCCACATCCCGAAAGTTTAGGGCACTCCCGCGGCGCGTACAATCCCTAGGCTTCAGTTCTATGAGGGAGTGCTTGCGCCTTTAGGTTTGGGGTGGAGTGTTTCGGGTTTAGGGTTCAGGATGTTCCCAGGGCGCGAGGCTCGGGGTGTTTCAGAAGAGATTTCTTCGAGGCGGCATTTTGAGACGGGAGCCTATGGCCCAAGGGTTTAGGGTTTAGGGGTCCAGGGTGCTTGGAGACTTTGGGGTTTCGGGGTATAGGGTTCCCCTGAAACCCTAACCCTGAACCCTTAACCCTCAACCCCAAGCTATAAGCCGCCAAGCTCGAGGTTTGTGGACTCCAACCTTGAGCACCTCTGCCGGTGGCTGGGACGTCAAACACGGAGTAGAGCTTTTAGTTTAGGTTTAGGGTCAAGGGTTTAGGGTCAAGGTGTTTAGGGCTTTCGGGGGTTTAGGGTCCAGGGTTTAAACGCCTAAGAGCCCTAGAACCATGAAGCTCCTAGAGTGCACCCAGCATTTGCTGCAACCCCCCTTGTTAAGGGGTTCGGGTTTGAGGCTTCCGGGTTCAGGCGGGTTTAGGGTTCAGGGCAACGAAGGAGGGTGCCTCTTTTCTCCTGGGTTATTGGGCCACTTGCAACCCTAAAACCCTAAAAACCGAAGACCCTCCAAAGGTCCTAAGAACCGTAAATCCTAAACCCTAAACCCAAACCCCAAACCCCAAACCCCAACAAACAACCCAACACATACTGAAAACAAGAAACTCCAACAATCCTAAGTAAGCTCTAATCCCCCAAACCCTAAACTAACCCTAAGCCATAAACCTTAAACCCCTAAACCCTTTAACCCCTAAAACCCTATAATCCCAAACCCTAGAACCCCAAAACCCTAAACCCTAAACCCAAGGAAAGGGGAGGAGCCCAGCTTCATGGGCCAGTGGGGCCAGGCCGGTTACGTGTTGTGGGGTTTCAAGGCTTTCAGGGCCAGGGCTTTTCGGGTTCAGGGCTGTGGGGGTTTGGGAGTTTAGGGGTTTAGGCTGAGGGGCTTAGGGGTTTAGGGGTTTAGCGTGTCCGGGGTTCAGAGTTTAGGATTTAGGGTCTAGGATTTCGGGTTTCGGGTTTAGGGTGCATTGGGGTATATAGCCCATAAGAGTGTGCGAGTCACCCTAACCGTAAACCCTCAGCCCCAAACCCCAAACCCCAAACCCTAAACCCTCCCCAAGACAGGACCGGTTCCTCGTGGAGAACGTCTTTGGGACACGAGAGGGCCCCGGACTCTACGTCGACGTGTCTTGGCGCGATGCCTCTATATGGCCCCGTTAGGAGTTATTTTTTGTATGTAGAACCCAAGGGAATATCAAGCACATGACTTTTATTAAGTTTCTCAGCGGCGTATAGGGCCTAGGGCTCCCGATTGACTGACTAGATGACGGCAAAAGCCCTAGCTTCTCAGCCCTACTACCTTATTACCCGAAACATACAAGCCTGAACCCTACTCCCTAAACCCTCAGCCCTATAAACCCTCGAGCCTAATCCCCAGACCTGCAGGCACAGGGCTTTCTGGGATTAGGGTCATTTCTGGGGATTTTGAGTTGAATTTCAGGGTTTAGGCTTTAGAGTGAATGGAGCTGCAAACCAACGGACTTCCAAAGGAAGGCAAACCTGCACCCTTTAGAACCCCAATTGCCCTTAAAAGGGTCAAGGAGGGACCCCTAGATTAGACCCTTAATCGTATTCCCTTAAGAAACCCCTACATGTATATGTATATATTATATACACCTAATATAGTCCCTACATACCTAAGTAGCTGGTTCAGTATAAGGGACCCTCCTTCTGCAATCCCAAACCCTGACTGAAGCGAACCCTAAACCCTGAACCCTGAACGCCCTGAAATCCTAAACCCAAACAGCCCCTAATCCCCTAAACCCTAAAGCCCTAAACCGAAATGCCCTCAAATCCAACCCACAGAAACCCAAAACCCGAAGCCCTATATCATGTTGGGCGTTATATATTAGGAGTGTCGAAGGCTTTGAGTCCTTTGGGACCCTAACCCCTAAACCCTATTAATTAGGCTTTTGAATTGTTTAGGGCGTTTTTGTTTTCAGGCTTTGCTTTGTTGGGCGTTTAGGACTCAGGATCCGAAACCCGAAGCCGCAAATTCTGAAACGAGCTTTAGGCTTCACCGTCGTTCAGGGTTTAGGGTTTAGGGTTTTCGGGTTTAGGGTTCAGAGTTCAGGGATGTTCAGGGTTTGGGGTTTAGGGGGCTTAGTGGCTGAGGTGGGCACGTCCCACCCTTACCACCTCTCCAACACCGCGCGGCCTGGCGCGGAGCGGTCTGCGAGATGCCTTTGCTTTAGGGTTTTAGGGTTTAGGGTTTAGGGTTCAGAGATTAGGGGTTTTCGGGTTCAGGGTTTGGGGGTTCCAGGGGGAAACCCCAAACCCCACGCAGCTCAAGCCCCAAACCCTCATTCCTACAACCCTTTGTCCCTAGATCCCTAGCCGAGGTTCCTGAACCCTAAAACCTAAACCTTGACCAAGAACCCTAAACCCTAAACTGGGCCCTAAACCCTACACCCTAAACCCTGAACCCTAAACCCTAAACCCTAAACCCTAAACCCTGCTCCGAGGTTCCTGGACAACTGTTTGGGCTGGCGCGGCGTGTGCCTTGAGCCGAACCCACGGCTCAGCAACGCCCCTGGGCTCTTGAGGAGGGCGTGGGGTTTAGGGTTTGGGGTTTACGGTTTAGGGTTTAGGGTTTAGGGTCGAGGGTTTAGGGTTCAAGGTTTAGGGTTTAGGGTTTGGGGTCTAATGTTAGGGTCCCTTTAATAACCCCCCCCCCCCCCTCCCCCCCCAATCTTGTTTTGGTCCCCGGGGTTTGGAGGGGTGGAAAAAAAGAGGGGGCGTCAATAATGCGGATTCTGGGGGTCGGGGGTCTGGGAGTCTGGGGGTCTGGAGAAGACAAGCAGATCTGCTTCTCTAAAGACTGAGCCTCGGAGCTCTTTCAAGCCAGCTCAGCTGAAAAGTCTTCTCTGCAATGGAACTCTTAAGCCATTTTCAGTGAAATTTTCAATTCCTGGCCGAAAAAATTTGACAATTACCACCCCATTATTATTATTATCACCGGACCCCCCTATATAGACTTGTTACATACATCGGCCCGAAAACCTCCCGTAATGGAAAGTAGTCTTCGGCTGGGGCCCTCTGGCCCGGCGAATATTACTATTACCACCCCATTTGTAAATGGGACGTTAACATTAGGGTTTAGGACCTAAACCGCCCCTGATGTTTAAGCCGTTGCAAACCCCCAATCCTAGAGTGTACCTGGAAGCCCCAGCGCCCGAAACCCAACCACCCCTACACCCTAAACCGCTGTGGGCAGGGGGTCCCCTGAATGCGGGGTACCCTACTGGGGTCTATACCATAAGGGAATTCTATGATTTGGAGGTCTATAACAGGGGCCCCCTTTTTTCGCAAACTCCCATATTCTAGGATCCAAAGAGAGTAGTATATATAACCTTTTAAACCAAAGAGGGCACACTGTTTTATCCTAGGTTTCTTGGGTCTAGTATCTGACCTGTTCCCTTATGTGGGTTTGAGAGTATCATACTGAGAGGAGTATTTGTCAGAGGATTTTAAGGTTTTTCTGAGTCCGTGAAATCCTGAACCCCTAAACCCCAAACCCTAAACCCATACTAAGCTCAGCTCAATGCCACTGGGATTCTTGAGAGATCTAGTACCCACCCGAAGGAAGTTAAAGGTACATTCCTTGGGATGTTCCCCTTATACTAATTGTCCTTCGTAGGGATCATACTAGGGTGTACTTTCATCCCTATCAAGGACCCCTAATTTGTCTGGAGAACATCCCAATATATTCCTCGAACTTGGCAGATCTTTAAGTTCGGGTCCCAACAAGGTTTAGGGTTGAGCGTTGTACGGTGCTGTACTATACAGGGACCCCAAAAAGGGAACCTGATTTAGAGAACTGGAACGAAGTTGAAGGTTTTGGATTTGCAGTAGGTTGGTTTTGAGGGGCTTGGGATTTAGGAGTACTTTGCAACATGAGTCAGGAACCCTGTTGAACGAAACCCCAAAGCCCTAAAACCCTAAAACCCTAAAACCCTAAAACCCCAAAGCCCTAAAACCCTAAAACCCTAAAACCCTAAACGCTCTAAAACCCTAAAACCCTAAAACCCTAAAACCCTAAACGCCCTAAAACCCTAAAACCCTAAAACCCTAAACGCCCTAAAACCCCAAAACCCTAAAACCCTAAAACCCTAAACGCCCTAAACGCCCTAAAACCCTAAAACCCTAAAACCCTAAACGCCCTAAACCCCAACAAAATGTTCCCTCAGAGCTTCCAGGGCTCCTGGTGAGCCAAGTTTGTGGTACTTTACTGTAACTTTAGATCCTTACCGACGAGTCGCCGAATCATGACATCTACGGTGGGATCGATCCCTTTGCCCCACTTGAGAAAGACTTCTGAGACCTTGACCTTTTTTGGGGGTTTATTGGGTTTAGGGTTTAGGGTTTAGGGTTTAGGGTTTAGGGTTTCTTATTAAGGCAGCTAAGAGTTTAATTAATAGCTGCCCTCGTGAGTGCAGCCAAGGTCATCCGTGGCCTCCGGTCCCTTGGCCAGCAGGTTTCGATCCCTTGCAGTTTTTAGGGTTTTAGGGTTAAGGGTTTAGGGTTTAGGGTTTAGGGTTTAGGGTTTAGGGTTGAGGGTTTAGGGTTTAGGGTTTAGGGTTTAGGGTTCACTCATAACCTTACCTGCAACTACTTGAAGGCTCGTGGTACTCAATCACCAAGTATAACTGCATATTTGACCCACTTGTAAGCTCCTTCAGTACCCATGAAGCTCCAAGTAGGTTGAGGGTGAACCCTACTAGAGACCCAAAGGCCCTACTTGGAGGTCCAGGGTCCTTAGCAACCCATTGTAAGTGTAGTTCTAACCCACATATAAGCCCCTTAAGTACCCTAATTGGGCTATAACTGGGTTATAAGTACAGTTCTAATTGGGTTACTCAGTACCCTGAACCTCCGAGTATAGACCTAAACCCTTTCCTGGAACCTTGCAAGCCCTTTTCCTCCAAGTCTTCTTGGGCTTGTTTCGGGTCCCCTTTTCGGACTCCCTGTGCAACGGATCCCTTTTTTTCACTCTAAAGTTAAAGCCCTAAAGCCTAAACCCTAGACTCAAACCCAAAAGCCTAAATCCTAAACCCCTAAACCCCAAACCCGACAGCCTAAACCCTAAAGCCCTGGCCCCAAAATGACAGACAGCCGGCAGCCTCAGGACATGTTCAGTGGTGGAGGCGTGCGCCTGGGCGAACCAGACTTCCATGAAGCGTCTTATCTGAGCTACTTAGGGGGGTTTATGGTTTAGGTTCAGGGTTGTAGGGTTTTTTAGGGTTGGGGGCGTAGGGTTTCTGGATCCACCAGTGTTCACACGTCCTTTTTTGGGGACCCTGGCAGCCTTTTAAAGTCTATTTCAGGCTGGAGAGACCCTAGAACCTTTAAGCCTGAGACCTACCTCCGCACTTGGTGGGACATCGGAGAGTTCGAGTTGCCACAGACAAGGACAGCCGGTTGATGGTGAAGCGTTTAGTGTTTAAGGTTTTGGGCGACGCGTTTTGGGTTCAGGGTTTAGGTGTCGAGGGTTCCACGATTCTAGGGAACCCGAAGCCCCAAACCACGCAGCCTCAACACTGGAAGGGTTTAGATTTTTTGAGGAGTCCAATTTGCGAAGCCAGAAGACCATAAACCCTAAACCCCTGAACCCCTAGACCCTAAACCCTGATCCCCCTAAACCGTAAACCCTAGACCCTAGACCCTAAACCCTGCAGGTTCTCCAACCACATGGAGCTGGCCACCCGCACAGACAAAGAAGAGCTCAAGCCAAGCAGGCACATTCTGCTCAAGGGTTGAGGCTGTCGGCCCTTAATTTCGGTTGTACGGTTATATTTGTATGTGTATATCTATATGTCTTCAAGATGCCTTGCCAAGAAAACCCAGTACACTTCAAATAAGAGATCGACCTGAAACTATATCGTACAAACTCGGAATATGTTGCAGTTTCGCTTGTTTGCTCATTTGTAGAATCCTGGCTCTGTTTTTGGGAGATGCTTGAAAGGTAAACATGCTCAAGCTCGGATCAATTTCTACTAAACTCTGGGTACCGAGAGTTGCTGGTAGATCCTAAACTGGCACAAAAGATCCATGTGCCTGCATAGTATACACTGGAGCCTTCCTGTATGGTACGTAGCTTTAGGGCCCAAGTACACACACACACTCTATATATATATATATATATATATATTTATTTATTTATTTATGTATATAGATATAGGTACATCGACCCTTAGGTTGGTGGCGGGGGGGAATCGAGAGCTGAAGACACCGGGCACTATTGACCGGGTTGTGGGCTCCTGCGTAGAACGCGTAATTACGCCTTAACTTAGCTGCAGGTTTACAAACATGTCAGAACTATATGGCGTGGTCTTCGCACCCCGAAAGCCCGCGATTGGACTCCTGGACCCTTCACCCTAAACCTTTACCGCTGAACTTAATTGAGGCATGTACCTAGAGGAAAGCTCTACCACAAGCCCTGAGTTGAGGTGATCGGCGAGATGTCATAAACCCGAAATCCGATATGTTCCCAACATCCCTAATATCCTTACTTGAAGGTTCATGGGTAGTCAGAAGTAGGGTTTTTGGTAGTTACCCTGAATAAGGTGATACTTAGAGTTACTCTATAACCCTTCTTACAACTAACTGCCCGTGAATCTCCAAAAAACCTTAAACCCTAAACCCTAAACCCTAATTTGAGGCCCGGGGAGATGTCCGACCTCCACCCTTCAGAGACCTTCTTCGAGGCTCGGGCCTTCTGTGAGTAGGGTTTAGGGTTTAGGGTGTAGGGTTTAGGGTTTAGGGTTTAGGGTTTAGGGTTCAGGGTTCAGGGTTCAGGATTTAGGGTTTAGGGTTTAGGGCTTAGGGTTGGGTTGGTTTTACGTGCCGGCCATAGGCCATGTAACCTGATCTGGGTTGTAAGCCACTGAGGACTCTACCTGCCAGCACCCACGGCCTCCCTTAGACCCAGGAACTCTACAAAGGGAACCTGTAACACCTTTTTAATGACTAGCTAGTTAGCTGGCAGCTAGCCGGCATATAGCGTCCCAGGTAAACCTTTAGAATCGAACCCTAAGCCCCAAAACCCTAAACCGTAAACCCGAAACCTTTGAACCTAAACCACCTTAAACCCTGAACCTTAAACCTAAACCCTGAAAAACATCAATCCCTAAACCTGAAACCCTAAACCCTGAACCCTAAACCCTAAACCCTAAACCTAAACCCTAAACCCTAAACCCTAAACACTTTCAACCCTAAACCGCTCTAGTCTGCCAGGCACGGTGCGCACCCCTACACGAGCTGCTGCAAGAAGGCCTCCGGCAGTTGGAGGTGTAGGGTTTGCGATTTGGGGCTTTGCGATAATAAGGGTTCAGGGGTTAGGGTTTAGAGCAAAATAGTGGGATCCTCTTACAAGACTAAAAATAGTGGGACCCTCTTACAATAAAACCCTAACTTTGTCTACTTCATTTCCAGGGGGTAGTCCCCCCGGCATGCTCCTTGCAAAGTCTCCTCCACCTGATATCCCAATAAAGGGGCCTTATCTAACACACCCCAAATGGCAGCTCTTCTTCCCGCAGCTGTCTCTGCATCCTTTATGGTTTAGAGAGACTTTACAGGACTTAGGGGTTTTCAGGGATACTGGGAGGGACCTCCTTCTTTCAGGCCCAGCAACATACCCGCATACCAATCCCTAGGCTCCCTCATAACGGGTTCCTCCTGTAGGCCCTTGAGATCAGCATGCCCTACTTAACCCTCTAAACCCCAAACGCCCCTTCTTGAGTTTTTCCGGTGAGTCGCAGGCAGGCGAGGACTCAGGGTTGCTGGGCGTCGTCATGTTGCATATTGGCTCGGGAACCTCAAGCCTAAACTGGTACCAAAAGAAGTCGAGCTTGCAATTGACCGGCAGACCAGGGTGCCAAAATCATCATGTCCTGACGCCAAAGAGTTCAGCATTTCTTGGGAATCTTCTCAGGTTTTGCCTACCTTGGAATCCCAGCAGGCCACTTGATGCCGCTCTCATGCTAGGGGTGTCACGCACAACCATATGGCATAGCAACACATAGCTGCAAGCATCATTCCCCAGACTCAACTTCCACACAAACCGCATAGGATTAACTCCAATTCTATGAGGCCCTCCTACTATCTGCTTCATGGGTAGACACAAGTACAGTTGTAAGTAAGAAGGGCAACTCAAGCTGCAATTGCCTCTACAAAAGAACCTATACCCGAACTGACAGCTACCCCAAACCTAAACCCTAAAGCCTGAACCCTAACGCCCTGAACCCAAAAATCCCTAAACCCTGAAAGCCCTAAACCCTGAAAGCCCTAAACCCTAAAAGCCCTAAGCCCTAAACCCTAAACCCTAAAAGCCCTGAACCCTAAACCCTAAACCCTCAACCCCAGAGAACCTAAACCCTAAACCATAAACCCCAGACCCTAAACCCTAAACCCTGAACCCTAAACCCTAAATCCTAAACCCTAAACCCTAAACCCCAGACCCTAAACCCTAAACCCTAGACCCTAAACCCTTCAAAGGAGGCCAGGGTGCCCCCGTTGCCGTGTTCAGGCCTGCTGCAAGTCCTGGATGCGGAGGACGTTGCGGTGTCGGGTTGAAGGTTGAGGGTTTAGGGTTTAGGGTTTAGGGTTTAGGGTTTAGGGTTTAGGGTTTAGGGTTCAGGGTTCCCGAAACCCTTAACACCCTAAACCCCCAAACCCTGAAGCAATAATAAAACCCCAGACTTTTAACCCCCCCAAGCCTCAAACCCTAAACCCCTCAGCCCGAAAACCCTTAAAACCTTTCAAAACCTCACAAAACATCCTTAAAGCGCCTAAAACCCTTCAAAACCCTCCAAAATCCTGACCTAAGCCCTAGACCCTAAACCCTAAACCCTAAACCCCCTGGTCAACGAAGGAGCTTCAGGCTGCCGCTAGCGGCCACTGGAAGCCCAGGCCTGTTCCCGAGCTTGGGTTTTGGGGGGTTTGTTTGGGGTTTAGGTCTTTGGGGTTAGGGTTTAGGGTTTAGGGTTTAGGGTTTAGGGTTTAGGGTTTAGGGTTTAGGGTTTAACATTAGGGTTGAGGGCTTAGGGTTTAGGTCTTTGGGGTTAGGGTTTAGGGTTTCGGGTGGTGGCGTTCCTCGTGCTCTTCAAGGAATATACGTGCGCAGGTCACGACATAAGTCCTAAGCCCTTGGAGCTTATGGTGTAGGGGTTTAGCTATTCAGGCTTGGGAAAGTGCTTTCTATCAATTCCTGCCCGGGAGCAGGACCGAAGATCTGCAACCAGCAGAATCGGAATTTGGGGTCGCTTATGTAATCTACAGCCAGGCTCGGCGCAACCCAAGGAACAGCTGCTGCATGCTTCTTTCCTATCGCCTTTTCAAAGTGTTGTTCGCAAGTTGCGATGTGCAAAAGATGCGCGCGGCGCACCCTAGACCCCCAACCCTAAATCCTTGAAGCCCCAAGCCCAAATCCCGAACAAGCCCTCAGTTCAGACACTTAGCAGCTCCTGTAAACAGCCTGCTTACCCAAATATATAAAAAACCTAAATACGTAGACAAACAGCAAACAGAGACTGTTCGCCTCAACACACCCTTTCCAACTCCGACTCGGTACTGTGCGTTTCACTCAGCATTTTCCATGTGGATCACGCTAAACCCAAAAGCTTCAGCACTGAACCCTTGAACCCTCTTCTAGTCTGTGCGCATTTTGTAGAATTTGATAACCTCGTGCTCTTCAGGATCGACCTCCTTTCAGTTGATGCGGAGGGAGCAGAGCTCGAGATCTTCAAGGACTTCCCCTTTGAGGCCGGGCTTTTCACGCCGACAGCTCTGAGGGGTCCCTGATGTCCTTTTTGTAGACGCTAGGTTCTTTTTTGTTATAGGGGTTGGAATAATTTCTGAGAATATTCCCTTATGGTCCTTCATAAATATACTACACGAACCCTATTCTGATATTTAAGGCCCCTATATTCAACGAGTTACTTGGGACACCGGGTGCTCTTACCGGCTGAGATTGCGAGGCCGGCCCAACAAAAAGAGAGCAAGGGGTACCCCTAGAGCACATTCCTTAGGATGGGGTCCCATCTCCTCCATGAGACCCGAAGACAGATAGCCCTAAACCCGAAACAGGTTTAGGGTTTAGGGTTAGGGTTTATGGCTTAGGGCTTAGGGTTTAGGGTTGAGGGTTTAGGGGAACCCTAAACCCTAACCCCCCAAAAAAACCTTGGGAGGCTTGGGACATCCGCTGCATCGTGGTCGAGACGAGCCGGCGCACCTCCATGGCCGTGGACAGCCTGCTTCTTCCCCTGGCCGGGGGAGGGGGGGAGGGTGAGGGTTTAGGGTTTAGGGCTCAAGGCCCCTGGTGGCCTGGTGGGGCAAGACTGAGGGCTTCATGGGTTTAGGGTTATGGGTTTAGGGTGAAGGGTTTACTTTTAGGGGCGTAGGACGTAGAAGATGCGTTGGATGCAACACTTTTGCTTTTGGGTAGCGTTGTTTTGTAGTATCGTGAAAACTATTTGCAGGTTCGGGTGCTTTGGGAGGTGTAGGGGGTTTAGGGAAGGCGGGGGGAGGGATTTGGAACCCTGCACACCAACCCTAATTCCTAAACATGGTGGTTTCTTCAAGAGGTTCCCATACAGTAGCTTTAGGGCCCAAAGCGATGGAGGATGATCCGGAACGTGAGGCCGGATCGTCTCATTGACTTTTTGTTCGTGAGCGATCAGTGTCATGGGGACGTGCTGACGCACCAATCCCCCCACAGTGTTCAAAGCCCTAAGCCCCACCTAAGCCTGAACTTCTAAAACCTTAGCCCCAGCTCAACAAGCCCAAATTCCCACTTAAACCGAAAATCCCAAAACCTACGCCTCAGTTCAACCCTCCAAGCCCCAAACCCTGGCTTATTCTTAAGGAATCATGAGCCCTAAGCCCTATAGACCCTAAATCTAATCCCTCCGGAGACTGCATGGGCACATCAAGTCGCAAGGTCGTCACCGCAAAAGGTTCAGGGTTGAGGGTTTACGGAGCGCCAAAACCCTACGAAACCCAGTTAAACCCGACCAAAACCCCGGGAACCCCTAGATCCGAAAACCTCTGACCCCGGAACCCCAAACCCAAAACCCTCCGAAACCCTAAGCCCCTAGCGCGCAAACCCTAAACCCTCAACCCTAAACCCTAAACCCTAAACCCTACACCCTACACCCTAAACCCTAAACCCCAAACCCCAAGCCCTCAACCCTAAGCCCTAAACCAAAAGTCAGACCAGGGCTTCGTGAAGGTCGCCATCCTGGGCAAGGACCGGGCTTAGGGGGCGATAAGAGGCTTGCTGGCCCAGTGGTGCCCACTTTTTTTGGGGGGTTTAGGGTTTAGGGTTTAGGGTTTAGGGTTTAGGGTTTAGGGCTTAGGGCTTAGGGCTTAGGGCTTAGGGTTTGGGAGGCTTGGTAGCCCAAAACCTAAATTATGACTCTGTTTCGTTCTCGGCCCTACACTCAAAACCCGAAGCCCCAAAACTCTCGGAGGCGGAAATGGTGCCTTGACAACGGTCGAATAGGGTTGAGGGTTTAGGGTTTAGGGTTTAGGGTTTAGGGTTTAGGGTTTAGGGTTTAGGGTTTAGGGTTTGGGGAGAGTTCTGAAGGTTTAGGGTTTGGAGATTCAAGGGTTTAGGATTTGGGGGTTCTTGGCTTGGTGGGGTTTTGGGAATGTTTGGGAGCTCTGTAAACGTCAACATTTCCTGTGGGTCAAGAGGGGCATGTAGGTTGATGAAGCTTCAAAAGTTCTTCCGAATCAGCCCTAGAAGGGTTTAGGTTTTGCCTTTCGGCTTTAGGCATTGTTGACGGTTTCGGGTTCGTTCGCGGGGACCCCACATGCTGCTGGAACAGTGTCATTGACAGTCATCTTTCAACAGCGCGGTGAGCTGAATGATCACCCCTGAACCTTACACCCAGAACCCCAAACCCTAAACCCCAAACCCCAAACCCTACACCCTAAACCCTAAACCCCCTACAGTCTTGCCTTGGACCACGCCGGAGTCCTCTGCATCTTGCTTGGCAGCTGGCCTCGGACTGCGCGGTTTAGGGATCCTACACCCTGAACCCTAAACCCGAAACCCTAAACCCTAAACACCGCGCTTGCGGAAGACGGCAAGCCAACTCGGCGAAGAAGACCTGGGCCAAGCGCTTCGTGTAAAGAAGCAAACAGTTGCAGCCAAGGCGTCGACGCCTGCAGAGAGCGTCATGGATACCTAATTTCACGATTCACCAACATCAAACCAGTTTTGTCAGTTTAAGCCATGTCCCGAATGCCTTGGAGGTGTTTGGACTTGTTTTCCTCTGCTTGGATCCTCACCTGGGCATCTTGAGGCCATCAACGTGGCTGGCGGCGCAGCAAAGTTCTTGGCAGAGCGGGACGCCTTGGTGGAAGTTGCGCCCGCTAAAGGCGAAAGCCGAGGCCGAAGCAGCGGCAGTACCGTGAGAGTTGGCCCCATGTTGCGCGCTTTGTGTGTCTAGGGTTTGGGTTTAAGGGTTTAAGGGTTCAAGGCTTGAGGGTTTAGGGCTTAGGGAGACTTTGCATCCCTCGCGCAGTCGCCCGTGAGTCCTGCGAGGACGCCGTATATCTCAGCCACTTGCAGATGACCAGCTTTCCATCAGGCGTCCGGGGACCCCATATCCAAGGCTTTGGGAACGTGGGATTGGGGTTGGGGTTTGGGGAGTCCCAAATAAGGCTTGTTTCAACACGTTCACATGCAGCTCCCAATGTGGTTCGAATCCTGAACCCAAAGCCCAAAAAAACATTGAAGCGTTTTTTCCAAGCATTGAACCATCCATGTGCTCCAAACCCTTAACCCTACCCCCAAAAACGTTCAAGCCCTTTGTCAAACTCAGAGCCGTTACGCTCTCTGACCTTAAGGCTCTACGGAGTCATCTGTTTTCAGTTGTTGGGCCCGAACAACCCACTGAGACAGACTCACAAACGACCCCGGCTTGAGGTTTGCCGAGGGTAGCCCTGTACGTCGAAGAAGGGGATACGTACATTTACCCCAAGACTTCAGGTACATGTTCCTCTTTCGAGGTAGAAAGGGTAGCACTTGGCGTTTAGTGTTTTGGGCTTGGGGTTGTGGGCTTAGGGTTTAAAGCTAACCCTTAATTAAACCCTAACTCCCAGGCCTTGTGTCTAAGCACAAACCCTAAATCCTAAACCCTGAGCCCGAAACCAGAAATTCCCGCCCGGCCTGCTGAGGCCGTTACCCGGCAACCCAGACACACCTTTCCTCGACTCTAGCCCCATCTGGGCTACGCCGTGCCTGCAAGGGCACTCCCCATTGCAAACCCTCAACCCTCAACCCTCAACCCTAAACCCTGAACCCTGAACCCCGAACCCCAAACCCTAAACCCTAAACCCTAAACCCTAAACCCTAAACCCTAAACCCTAAACCCTAAACCCTAATCCCCAACCCACTCCTTCGGAGGTGGCTCTCTGCAGCTGCCCGAGCAGATCGCCTGGAACGCCCCGGGCTCCGAAGCTGACACCATCGAGCGCGGGCGCCCGGCGGCGCCTTCTTCCCTTCTTTGTGAGGGTTTTAGGGTTTAGGGTTGGGGTTTCAGGGTTTAGGGTGTAGGGTTTGGGGTTTAGAGTTTGGGGTTTAGGGCTTTGGGTTTAGGGGGTTTAGGGGGTTTTTAGGGCGTCTAGGGTTCCTAGGACCCAGAGTACTCCCTTATTCTCATAGTTTTTAGGGTGTAGGTTCCCTTAGAAGCCCGTTTTAACCAAAACGGGGACCCTTTTTGTTTCCCAGGTTGCTCTTGGGTCTTGGTTCGATCTGAACTCCCGCTAAACCCTCAAGCTTACACCCTGAACCTCAAACCCTATAAACCCTAAGCCTACAGGCCCTAAACCTCAAACCGTAAACCCATAGGGCTTTTGACTGAGGACTTGTCCCAGACTCCACTCAAAACCCTAACCCTTTAGGGTTTCGGGTTTCGGGTTTAGGGTTTAGGGTTTAGAGTTTCGGGGTAGTAGGTCGGCAATTGTGATGATGTTTCATAGTTCCCCTTCTCGGGTTGAATTGGACTCGGCAGCCCATTCGTTGGGGTTTCAGGCTAAGGGTGGCCCAGTGGCATGCCGCGGATTGGCTGAATTCTGCAGCTGCTGAGGATAACCCTAAACCCTAAACCCTAAACCCTAAACCCTAAACCCTAAACCCTAAACCCTAAACCCTAAACCCTAAACCCTAAACCCTAAACCCTAAACCCAAGGCGTGCGGTCTGCAGCACTGGATCAGTATTTGCAGTTTGCCAATGAGATAGTTTCCCAGCGGCGTGTGCCTTGAGGGTGACCCTGCGCTCATGGTGCCACTGCTCCTTTGCGGGTGTTGTTAAGCCCGGCGCCCACGATGGTTACACAGGTCCACCCGGTCCGGGAGGTGCTAACCAAATTTTCCCGGCGCTGCAGGTTTGCTGCCTTTTGCGCTTTGGGGTTCAAGGCTCGCTTATATAGGAACCAACCCCCAAACAGGGTACCCTTGTTGTAATGTGTTTTCTGGGCTACCAAATTAGCCTAGTTCAAGTAAGTCCACCATGTAGGATGCTGGCCCAGTGGCTCCTTGGGGTTTTAGAGTTTCGTTTGTTTTTTGCTTGGGGGGGGGGGGTTGGAGGGTTGGGGGGTTTGTTTGTTTTGGTTTGGGGGGTCAGGGCTTAGGGGGTTCTAGTGTTTGGGGTTTTTGTTTTTTTTTCTCAGAGGCCTTTGTTGGGGGAGGCTGTGATTGTACGCAGCGTTATACTGAAGATCGAAAAACCGGGTGAAGGTTTAGGGTTTAGGGTTTAAGGGTATCCTTGTCTCTACACTCCTCCCCTCCACCCCCCCCCCCCACCTTAGGAGCCTTTAAGATGCCCTGTGCGTTTCCGAGTGAGATTCATTTCGATTCATTTCGGCCGCCTGTTAAGTGGTACTTGGGGTTAGGGTTAGGTGTTTGGGGTTTAGGGTTTAGGGCTAGGGGTTTAGGGGTTTCGGGGTTTTCGGGGTTTAGGGTTCAGGGTTTAGGCCATGCTCTTTGAGGTACCGCCGCTTCCAGCGCATGTTCGGCTTGGATGCTGACCTCGATGTGGACCGCGGGGCCTTTCTTGGAGGTTTTTTAGGGTTTAAGGTTTAGGGTTTAGGGGTTTAGGGTTTAGGGGTTTAGGGTTTAGGGTTTAGGGTTTAGGGTTCATGGGTAGTTGTATCTCGTCAGGGTCCTGGGACATTTTTTGTATTTTCTCTTATTGGGGTCATATTCAGGAATACTTTTTAGGGGGTTTAAGGGCCGTCCTTGATCAGTGAGGTCAAAAGCAAGGCAACTATACTTGCATGCTTAGCATGCTATAGCCTTTTTTCGAAAACTTATTTTTTTAACTACCCGTGAACCTTCAAGTATGAAGGGGTCAACAAACCCTGAGCTTTAAGCCTCAACCCTCCTCAGCCGTAGACGACGCAACTGTACTAAAACCCACCAGCAACCCCAAAAAACTAAACCCCAAACCCTGAACCCTAAACCCTAAACCTTATAAACCACCCCGTATCCCAGAACTTTAAAACGCCAACCCTCAACTTCCCTTCCAAAACCCTGAAACCTGTAGAACTTCAACCCCCTGAACCCTAAAACCCTAACACCCTAAAACCCAAAAAACGTAAAACCCTGAAACCTTCAACCCTAAACTCTAAACCCTAAAGCCCTAAACCTGAAGTCCTGAAGCCCTATCTTCCGATTTCTGGCCTCTCATCTTTCCAAGGCCCAGAACCACTCAAACTCGGAACTCTAAGGCCTTACCCCAAACCCCTAAACCTTTGTAAACCCTAAACCCTAAACCCTAAACCCAAAACCCTAAACCCAAAACCCAAGAACCCTAAACCCTAAACCCAAGAACCCTTGCAAACCCGAAGAGACACAGGACGTGGGCGACCAGCGTCTCCTAAACGCTACTGGGCAGCAGTGGCCCATGAACTCTCAAACCCTAAACCCTAAACCCTCAACCCTAAACCCTAAACCCTCAACCCTAAACCCTAAACCCTAAACGCCCTACTTGGAGGTTCCTGGGTAGCGGTTCAGTCTTTAGGGTACCCGAATCCCAATCACTGGGTTTCGGTTTTAGGAGTTTAGGGTTTAGGGGAACTCGGACTAGGACCCAGCGTACGTCCTTATTCCTTTTTTTGTTTTCGTTTCGGTCCTTTTGAAGCCCGTTTAAACCAACATGGCACCCGTCTTATTCCTAGATTACTCTGGGTCTAGGTTGTGAGACCAAGCACTAAACAATACAGGGCACCCGAATCCTAAGCATTGTGTTCAACGCAGAACTCATGTTAAGGGAAACCCAGCTTTTGGAACCTGAACCCGCTAGAAACCCTTCATTGCTTTTGGGGCGGCCCAAGTAGTCCGTATGAACGTACCCTAAACCGTAAATCCTCAACCCTCCACCCTATAAACCCAAAACTTGGGATGTTCCCCGCTTATACTAACAGGGATTGGAGAACCCTCCCCCCCCCCCCCCCCCCCGCCCACCCATACTTTCTATGAAGGACTGTTAGTATAAGGGGGCAAACATCCCCACCCTAAACCCGAAACCCAAAACCCTCAAAACCCTGTAAACCCTATAAACCCTATTTTCCCTGAAACCCCGACAAACCCTATACACTCTACAAACCCTGCAATCCTATAATCCCTATAAACCCTCAAAGCCCTGTAAGCCCTATAAGGTCTATGAACCCTATCATCCCTGCAATCCCGATAAACCCTCAAAACCCTAGGAACCATATGAACTCTATAAACCCTATAATCCCTACAATCCCTATAATCCCCCAAAAAAACCTTCAAAACCCTATTAACCCTATGAACCCTAGAAATCCTAAAACCTCAAACCGAGGAGTCGGAGCTCCTCCGCCAGGTTCGCGGGTTTAGGGTTTAGGGTTTAGGGTTTAGGGTTTAGGGTTTAGGGTGAGTCTTTTTTGTTTTGATTTTCAGGGCTTGGGGTTTATGGTTTTTAGGGTTTGGGGTTCAGGGTCTTGAAGGTTTGTCTTAGGGTTTGGGGTTCAGGGTTTAGGGTTTTGGGTTTTAGTTTTAGGGTTGGGGTTTAGGGTTTGGGGTTTGGGGTTTAGGGTTTTCGGTTTTAGGCTTTTTGGTTTGGGGTTCAGGGGCTTAGGGGTTTAGGGTTTTGCGGGTAGGGTGTGTGTTTCGGGGTCTAGGGGTCTAGGGGATAGGGGTTTGGGGGTGTGTGGGCCTAGGGTTTAGCGGTTCAGGGGGTTCAGGGTTAGGGCTCAGGGTCTACAAGTTTAGCAGGGGTTAGGGATTAGGAACGGCTGTTTATGCTTTAGTGCTTAAGAAGTCTTGGGTTTGGGGTCTTGGAGTGCAGGGTTTAGGGCTTGAAGAAGCGTACTGCTGTCCGTGCATTCTCCATTGTTTGCAGACTCCAAAACCCTAAGCCCCAAACCCTAAACTAAACTCCTAACCCCTAAACCCTTAAACCTAAACTCCTAAACCCTAAACCCTATACACCTTCTCTAAACTAAACCCCGAAACCCTAAACTCCTACCCTAAACCCTAAACCCTGAACCCCGAAACCCTAAAAACCTGAACCCTCAAACACCCCCTGGCAGGCGGAGCGCCAAGAAGCCAAGAACGAGCAGGCCTACGCCGAGGCTCCGAAGGGGTTTAGGGTTTAGGGTTTAGGGTTTAGGGTTTAGGGTTTAGGGTTTAGGGTTTAGGGTTTAGGGTTTAGGGTTTAGGGCGTTTTTGGGGGGACTTAGGCCTTAGGCGGGAAGTAGAGGTTTAAGGGGTTTGTGTTCCGGTGGGGTTGGAGGGTTTTACTTAAGGATTCGGGGTTTCATGTGAGGGCTTAAGGGACTCGAGGTGCGGGGGGTTTAACGCAAGGGGTTTACGAAAACAGGAGATCTCTTAGTTTTGACGCCTAAATAGTAGGAATCCCTGTATAACAAAGACCCCAAGAAGGTACCCCTAATGTCGGAAACCCCCCAAAAGGGTTTACGGTTCAGGGTGGCAGGGTTGCACCAGGGGCTCTGCCAACAGTCTTGGGGTACGGATCTCCAACCTAGTAGCTGAATGAGTACACTTGACACTGTTTGGGATGCTGTAATCCCCGAAAGAACTGAACGTGTACATTTTGGGGGGGCTTATGAACTCAGCAACTAAGCCAAAGGTACACGCTTGCTCCCCCCAGTTTGGTACATTCTGAGCTCCCCCTAAACGGAACACCCTATACCCTAAACCCTAAACCCTAAACCCTAAACCCACCCTAAACCAAGAGGGTCTCCCTGTATCTTCCCGGGTTGCTGGGTAGCCTGAGTAGTACAAGGCTGCCCATTTTTCGATCTATGATCCATGCTGGCTGGCTTATAGTAAGGATTTAGAGATTAGGGTTTAGGGTTTAGGGTTTTGGGATTAGGGATTCTAGAGCCTAGGGCTTTTTAGGGTTAAACGGTTAGGATTGGGGTTGGTCCATGTTGGCCGTTTTAGTGTCTGGTGTCCAGGGTTTAGGGTTGAGGGATTCAGGGTTGGGGGTTAGGGTTGAGGGTTCAGGGTTCAGGGTTCTGCCGGCCTCTGTCAAAGAGGGATAAAGCCATAGCCGCTCAACCCTAAATGACCCCAACCCGCCCTAAAAACCCCACAGCACGAAAGCCCTCGTTCACCCCCAAGAAATCCTTAACCCTGCACCCTACGGGCTCTTACTCGAAAATCTAGTTCCCTCATTATGAGGGAGCTAGGGACCGTAGAGAGCCCCTTGCAGGGTTTATGAAGGTGGAGATAAGGCACCTAATTCCCTTACTACCTGCTAAGAGCAAGTAGGTAAGACACCAGACCCCCTTAAACCTTAAACCCTAAACCCCTAGTTAAGGGCTTAGGCTTCGCGTTTTGGGGTTTTAGGTCTACGGGAAACCTGGAGTTCAGAAAAACGCAGTTGCAATCCTAATTGTTGCGCCATCATGACCCTAAGCTCTAAACCCTAAACCCTAAACCCTAAACCCGAAACCCCAAGCTCTCTCTAAGCCCAAACTCCAAGAGTGGCAGGCTCTGGACGTCGCTTCGGACACGATGTTTGGTGGCATGCTCACAGTGGAGCAGCTTCTCAGCCGGAAGTTTAAACTTTGTGGTGCTTTACTGTATCTTTGCATCTTGAGCGTTTTTGGGTCTATTGGGTTTCTTAATAAGGCAGCTAAAAGTTTAGTTTTTTGCTACCCTCCTAAGGGCAGCCAAGTTTATGAAGCCGACAGAACCCCATACCCTCATGAGCCCTTAATTTAACCCCGGGTCGAGGGTTTAGGGTTTAGGGTTTAGGGGTTGATCCCTCCATGCCATACACCCCATAACACCGACTGCATCCCGACTGCATGGTTTAGGCTTTGGGGTTTATGGCCCTAGCCCTCAACTCCAGTTGTACCAGCAGTTGAGGCAGAGCCGAACCCACTGGCTCCGCTGGGTGTTCATGGGTGGGCATGTCTTGGGCAGTGGAATTTGCGAGGCCATGCCCAGCATCTAAGAAGCCGTCAACAGGCAGCTCCTGAGGACGGCCAGGGAGGAGATGGGGACGCGGAGCTGCGGTTTCACTATCTCGCGAATCGGAAAGTGCTGATCTCGGGTTCCCTGTTCCTGTGCGGGCTCGTTGCCGCGCAGACAAACGCCTGTCGGCAGACAGCAAATTCCCAAAGGGTACCTACATAGTTTAGGGTTTATAAGGCTTAGAGTTTAGGATTTAGGGTTTAGGGTTTAGAGGTTCCTAGAAAGTAGCTTTAGGGAAGCCCAAACCCTATAAGGGATTAGACAGGGCCCTATATATACTCTTTAATGGATTATTAGGGCCCTATATATACCCTTTAAGGGATGACATAGGCCCTACATAGACCCCATATGCCCCCCAATCCTTACACAACCCCATTACACCATAGAGGTGAAGATTTCAAAGAGGCGCCCAATCCCACCCCAGGGCACCCTAAAGTCTCAACCCTGTGCTCTTATACTACTGTAGGGTTCAGGCCCTAAACCCAAAAAGACTGCCTTCAAGGCCCTAAACCCTAAACCCCAAACCCTAAACCCTAAACCCTAAACCCCCCGTCGGCGAGCTGTGCCCTGGAGTCCATGTCAGCAGCCGCCCAGGCGAGAGAAGCTCGAGGATCCTCACGTGAAGGACAGGAAGTCATGATGAGGGTTTTGACGGGGGACTTATGAGCTCAGGAGTTTTTAGGGTAACCCTAAACCCTCAACCCTAAACCCTAAACCCTAAGCCCTAAGCCCTAAACCCTAAACCCTAAATTTATTATGTTTTTGTTTTGTTTCTTGGGGCCGGGAGAAGGTGGTTTAGTGTTTAGGCTAAGGCCTGGTTGGGGGAGGAAGAAAAATGGGGGGGGGGGCCTAAACTCTAATCGGGTAATTTTCTCTAGCCGCAGACAATTATTCCTATCTGGCCCACAAGAGCCCATACCTTAGTCGGTGTAAGAATATTCGACATGATCGATTAGCCGGGTAAAATGCAATTTAATCGAAATGTGTTTGTTTTTCCAATTTGGGTTGTGCACGCGGGCTTCCAGATTTGTGGAAAGTCGCAGTACTCTCAGAAAGGGTTGGGATGCTCCCCCTTATACTAACAGTCCTTAGTAGGGATTATACTACCCCCTTTTATAATCATTATAATCCCTGTTAATGGCTGCTCGTATAAGGGGGAACCTCCCAAAGAATGGGTGTGGCACGGGAGAACGGCGTCTGCTGGAAGCATACGGATCGTTGACTTAGAGTCGCACTTAGTGTCACCCTAAACCCCAAGCCCCAAACCCTAAACCCCAAACCCTAAACCCTAAGCCGAAGCCCCAAGCCCTAAACCCTGAACTCCGTATAGTGAAGGTGGACACCTCACTGTCTCCCCTAAACATGGCATGCTGGATCCGAGCCGTGCATTCATGGAGCCCCCAAACCTAAAGAGACATAAGGAGGGACACCATAGAAGGGTTTAGGGTTTCGCGATGATTGTTTAGTTTTTAGCGTTATTCCGAAAGTTATTCCGCTATACAAGCTCTGTATATATATATATATATACATATACGCACCTTTTCTAGTCCCTGTATAGAGACCTAGGGCTGTATTGTGCGTACCTTCTCCATGTTTTGGGGTCTAGGGTCTCGGGTTTTACCCTGCCCGCGGCGGGTACCCTAAACCCTAAACCCTAAACCCTAAACCCTAAACCCTAAACCCTAGACCCTAGACCCTAAACCCTAAACCCTAAAAGCTGTAGGAATCGAGCTACAGGTCA